GAGGACCCGGCCTGTCGTTTTGGACACAGCCTAAGTTTCCATTCTCAGCAGGTTTCTAAGGTTCTTCTTCTACATATTAAGAAAACTGTTAAACATCTGAGTGGTGCACTACCGCTACTAGTGGTGAGAAAGTGTATTGCACTTTATTCAAAATCAATGCAGTCCCACGGCCCTGCGGCCCACAGTTAAAAACTGTTGTTATTTTGAGGCCCTCAAGGTGGCGTTGTGGGCCACAATTGGGTTAAGAATGTCTGACTTAGATCATCCTGATATCATTAGTAGATCTAGAGATATTATTTAATTGGTCTTGTCAGTTACAATAACACAAAAATATTTGGTCTAAATCCTAATTTATGTAATTTTAATGAGGATTTATTTTGTCATTTTAAAGACGAAACCTCAAATAGTGAATAGTGTTTGAATATTGAGATTTCCCAGCTGAAAGCAAACAAAAGCTTTGATAGCTCACAGGGAAAATCTCAACATTTTMAGGCGTTTTTCCTCAAAATCAAAAGTTTTTGGTTGCTCAAAAAAAGTCCTTCAAAAATGTTTTAAAATAATATTTCTTACAGTTCATTCAAATGATACTTTGATAACGCATTTAATAGTTATTTTTTGACAAAATGCAATTTTTGCGAGCGTTTTAGTCAAAACACTGTGTGTTTCTCCACTTTTAGACTTCATCCTCGTTTCGATGTGATGGCTCATAAATATTAAAAATAGGGGTGTAAGAAAATATCGATACATTGAAATATCGCGATATTTCATTTCCCGATACTGTATCGATATTCTAAAGCCCTGTATCGATTTTTTTATTAAGCTTTAAAATGTCAGCTTTCCTGCCAGCCGTTCATTTTTATGTTGTAGTTCAGCCTCTGACCGCTAGTTGGCCAGAGGCTGAACTACAACATAAAAATGAACGGCTAGTTGGCAGCAGTGAGCCAGCCATTTGGCTACTCTACCTCTTGAGGTAGAGGCTATTATTAAGTGTTGGGTAAAGAAAGAAATATGAAACAAATAAAATACATACAAAGCAGTGCACAGCTAAATGTATCAAAAGTATGTCTCTGTAATATTAGAATTTTCTGAGACAATGAATTTTGGTTTTTCTTTTTTTTCCCCTGTAAGAGGTTTTTATTTAACAGAATTTTTGGACCAAAAAATCGCAATATATCGCCTTGCTTACAGTATCGCAATATATCGTGATATATCGTATCGTGACCCCTCTGTCATGATATGTATCGTATCGCCAAATTCTTGACAATACACAGCCCTAATTAAAAACACAGTCAACGTAGACAAACAGATCAGGTCATTAGTTTACGAGAAGCTTTAACAGTTTTCTTTAAGTGGAGACAAACAGACACAGAGCGAGCAGCTGTGAAATATCATTTAGTGGCAGCTGCTGTTATGTGACTGGATAATCATGCAAAGCTTAACAGAGCTTTACGTCTTCAATTTTAAAAAAATTAGGCAGTTAGGAGTGCAGCTGCAGACCCCAAATGTGAAGAACACTAACAAATAACAGTGAAAAACAGAAACAAATAAGGTTAAACGTAGAAAATCAAACATAAAAAAGGTTAACCTGCTATATGGTGCAGTTTGGTTCTCCGGATCTGAAACGCAGGTCCGCACATGACGTAAACAAAGCAAACAAGAAGGATACAATCAGAAAATAATAGAATAAGTTCAGGTGGAAACATAAGAGAAAGAGAAAAGACGGGAAAGCGTCGGGAATAAACTGGGCGGTGGAGGGAATTCAACTTTTTACAAAACTTCTGCTCGACCGGTAAGTTCAGGTGTCTGACCTGTTCTCAGCAGGTAAAGCAAACACAGCTGGTATTTTTAAAGGACACGTTGACGTCGACGTGAGGGGAAAATACCACGCAGATCTGTTTGTCTCCGTGAAACGTCTTCACGATTTTCCAGTGAGTTGAGAAAGAGATGCTTCTTCTTCTTCTTCTTCCCAAAAACTCCTCCTCGCTTGTTTGTTCTGTCTCCATGACTCCCTGACCTCCAACCTTTTGTTAGCTCTTAAAAATAACATCCCAAGAGGCTAATTAAACATGAACCTTTCTATTTCCAGCCCACATATTTTGGAGGAGCAACACAGGGCAGGAAAGACAGACCCTCTCTGGGGAGTCCAGTTTAAAACTATTTAGTTTAATTTAATAAAAACATGCATTTAAACTTATATGTAAAAACAGGGTCAGTTTGAGTTTTTTCAAAGCCAAGAACAGCACTAGTTCCTGGAAAGTTATCTGAACATATCAAACTTATCTGTTAAGGCTCAGATCAAGGACATTTTTGTGACATAAGCAGTTTAATCATCCTGACCTGCTGAACAGGATCTTATTGATGACGAGCCATGATGGCACTGACAGCTAAAAGAAATAAAAGTTTTATATGTTTATATAAATAAATGTGATGCACATGTTGCTAAATAATCAGTGATACAAAGCACACATCGCTGATCAACACAGACCCCTTGACGTTGACCCTACAGTAAAAGATAAACACAACAGCTAGCTAACCATTGTTAGCTAACATCAAGTTACGGTCAACAGAAGCTTTTAAGAAACACAAAATAAGCTTCACTACTAATACAAACGTCCCAATAAACAACACCGACCACAGTGTAGCAACTGTAAGCTCAAAACCCCATCGGTTTGGCAGCCAAGTCTTGAGAAGATGCTGCCAGCTAAGCTAAAGCTAATCAAAAGAAGCTAACTTAGCTGTTAGCATGGTAAGGTGAAAACGCACGAAAACGACCGGCAACAACAAAGACAGCTGCGTCCGCGCGACCCTTTTTCAATTTCACAAGGGAGCGGTTTAAAGGACAACACGGTGGAGATGAGTTTTATCTACCTTTGGGCTGAGGAGCTTGAAGTTCGCCGAGGCTCGGACAGAACTATCCAGCCTGGGAGCAGCAGGAGCCGAGAGCTGTCATGAGAGGAGACGCCGCCTTCAGCGCCCCCTGGCGGCGGCTGCTTTCCAGCTCCAGAAAACATGTGGTGGATTTCCAACCGACCTGGTCCAGAGGAGCTGGTTCAGGCAGCCTGACTGGACTAACTTGTTAAGTTTCCTCTCTGAACAGATTTTAGTTGGAGCAGGCCTTGTCAGGATGAGACAAACTTTAAAGCAGGGGAACAAGATGGTGGTGAGGGTCACTGAAGGCATCACTGCATCCACTCATATTTATACAGACAGACTGAAAAATGAAGCCAAAGTTATTTTAAAAGACAAATGTCACCTGGGACATCCTGTGTTCTCACCTGTGTTCTCCAGGAAAAGACCAAAACAAAGAGACTGAAACACAGATTGTGCTGCTGTTGGTCCCAGTGTTCAATATACTGCAGTTAAATTATGCAGCTTATGTAAATGTATTTACTCTTTTTAACTCATTTGAATGTATGACGGAGTATTAGGGCCACACAATAAGATTTTTTTTAAATTACAAAAATAAAGTCATAATATTGCGAGATTAAAGTCGTATAAAAATAAAGTCACAATATTACGAGAATAAAGTCATAATATTGCGAGATTAAAGTCGTATAAAAATAAAGTCACA